TTGTAATTTGGTGCAAGGCCATGGAGAGACTTGTACAAAAGCCTAACTGCAATTTTGTCAAAAGAAAGGAGAACACTCAAGTCCCTAGTACTAGACTTTCTCTTGGTTATTCTTTTGTCCATTGTCCGCTTTGTCGATTTCATAATTTTTCCTGAAATGCTTTAAAAGTCGTGGGTCAGAAGTCTCCAAAACTTTGCCGCTTCACCCAATCTTCCATCAGCCGTGTCAATAAGAGCCATGTCCCTGCTCAGCTCTTGTTAATATAATAATCCACTTCATCATTTGTTTATTTATCCCGTGACCTGACAAGCGATCTCTTAAATGCTAAGGCGCGCGCGGATTCCATTAGCTGACGCAAATTTGGAGGGTGGAAAAGTTGTTGACATGCTAGCTTGCCGCATTTGTGTCACCTTCAATTAAGTACTTAGAGCATCCAGCCGCGTGCCTACGGTTCACAGAGAATTTGGGAAGGACAAAACTTGATTAAAACTTTAAAGAGAACATTGTTTTTCACGCTCAGGTGGGTTTTTACTAACAATAATATGAGAGGTAATAAAAGCAACTGGTAATAAAGAAGGGACTACACTGAACACAGAAAGATTAAGCGTTATTTAAGATCTTGTTGGTTATCAATTAGAATGGTAGTGGTTGAGAAAAGTGCAATATACAGATAAATATGTACTGAATATCCGAAGATGGTCTTAGAATGTAATCCCCCACTTCTTCCACCAGAGGGAGGTATAGAATTCACCTCAAACATCAAACATTGCTAGCGGCAATCTCACAGCCACGCGGTCTGGTGCACACTGAGGACTTTAGCAGATTTATTACAAAGTGGTTTTACTGTGAATGGCAAATAAACTGGATCTGAATCCTGACAATGGTCTAATGTCAATGGAGAAAGAAGGCAATACTTTTGTTTTAAGCAGAGGCAAAAAATACAGTTCTGAAAATGATTGAAGCTGCACTAACTGACTTTGAGAAATGTTCAAATGTGAGCAGTGAGCTCGCTCTTTTTGCTCACCCTCCCCACACGGAGCTTTTGCCCCCCACTACCCCCTTCCCCCTCAACCTGTGCTCACATGCTACATGCTACGCAATGTAAGAAGCTCACGTCTACCAATATGAATCGCACATGGATGGCGTGACCATAGAATGATTGAACCGGGAAGCGTGAAGGAACAAGACTTTCTTTTGGCTGTTTCCCTGTGTGAGCAGTAACCGGTAACGAGGACACGCAAAGTTTCAGGTTAACCTCCGCCGCTTGTTTACCTCAGCTGTCTGTGCTAACAAGAGACCTGTGGCTTTTCTCAAGAAAGTGGGGGCCAGTGATTGTGACCAATCGGGTCCGCCGATTGGTCACAATCTGGACCCGAAACACATTCTCTTGCATCCTTGTTGCATCAAAACTCGATCTCAAATAGTGGGATGTGTTGGTGCTAGAAATTTTTCATATCATTTTACTTTTAAATTTCATTAGAGGTATATCTACAATGTGTTTACAGTAAATTTGTCAACAGTGAGGCCGCTGTCCATGGTCCTGACCTTTCTTAAACCACGTTCAAATTGGTCTTTAAAAATAGTCCAGTTCTCAGGTCTCTGCTTCCTGCGGCTCAGAGAACAGACTTTAAAACAGCAATCCAAGTCTCTCCATGGTCTCAAAGTACACCTGCGACATGTTAGTGCCATATGAACCAACTCTGAGGGGCACAGGGACTGGCTTCATGTCAGAAAAAAAACACTATCATAATGTTCAAGTTGTAGCAGATCCAAAAATAAGTGTCAAGAATTGCCAATGGGAAAAAGCTAAATTGTAGCAAACTGTGCTATTCCAACAACCTTGCCTTTCCTTGCCATAAGCACCACCAGTTATCATTCAAAGCAGCCAGAATTACAGTCTCTCCTTCAACTATACATCCACACCTTTGCGTGACTTTTCCATTTCCTTTGAACCGCTCTCTCGCCGTATAGAACATGTGTAGTTAATTCCAAGACCTTTATTTGCAGCGAGGAAGAAAGGAGGCTGGAAATTGAACGCGAGGCTATAGGAGCCGAGGTGAGAGAAGCAGAATCGTTGTGGACAGACTTTGTGGTATAGAGGTGAGGGCTGCAGGCGGGTGGAGCAGGGAGGAGGTGGAGGAGGTTAAGAGACCAGGGACTGGAGAAATGGAGAGGAGCAGAGGAGGTGACACCACACAACAGCTCACTCGATAGGGAACAAGCACAAAAGAGCAGAGGAAAACAGATAATTGCTATTGATCATGGGAAAAGGAAGGGCCAACGTCAGATGGAGAGTTTGTGATACGGGTTTGGAGACGTTTCTGTCGGTTGGAGAGAGAATCTATGAAGCCTGGAGCTTCCTCTGTATTATTTAGTCCTTTGTGTCTGCGCTTAAAGACCTTATGACGGGTTTTTAAAAAAAAAAAATAGTGGATATCAAAATTGCATGACAATGTCAATTTGAAAGAGATTCCGGCAAAAAAAATCCTATATTTTATAAAAAGAACGTGTTTTTCATGAATTTAAGTTGTCTATGCTCTAACCTGTGTGTGACGTCACAGCGGGTAACGCCCATGCATTGAAAACCATGGATCTATGCCACAGGACTGCCTTTTCTCTCTTCTCTCCACTGATGCCCAACACAATACTGCACTCTACAGGTGACAATTGCTCACTACACATAAATTGCCATTTTGAGAGTGAAAAAGTGTCTGAGGTGGGATTTGAACCCAAGTATCTGGATTGGCAGACCATCGACACAACCACTGGACTATCTCAGTGACAACAAAAAGACACATTCTAGTAGTTATCTCACACTCGCTGTACACGGCCTTGTCATCTTGAATATCCGCGAAAAAAGAACGAATACCAAATTGTAAACAACTTACAGCGTTGAAACGTACCCGCTCTGACGTCACCAAGGGCTGTGAAGTTTTTTCGTTTCTAAGGGCGTTGCTATGGGGTTATTTCGATTTGGGGGGGATCAGACAAAAAAAACAACAACTGATTTTGAAACCTTTAGTAGTTCTCTTCTAATATAAAATGGTATTAAAACTGTATTTCTAAATAAATCAAACCCGTCATAAGGTCTTTAAAACAAAGGCTTCTCTCAGAGTGAAGACAACATTTATGAATCTGTGACACACAACACTCATAAAATAAACACACAAAGTAAGTCAGAGGTGAAAGTGGCTCAGCTGGGCTCAAAAGTTGTGGGTTCGATTCTCGCACACAGACTCCTCCACTATTCTGACTGATGTATGCGGTTATTGTGTCCTGGGGCAAGACACTTAACCCCTCTTTTCCTTTTGACTTACTGTCTGACTTCCTGTCTACTCCAACCAACTGCTGTATTTTTACCCATAATGTAAACAGAATAAAAAATTATGTGAAGAAAAAAAACGCTCAATCAAAACTAGAAGAAAGTCAAAAGCAAACTATTATTTTTCTAATCCACTTCCTTTACTGCATCCAAACTCATTTCCCCTGCTGCATATCGCTGCTCTCTCTCTCTCTCTCTCTCTCCCTCTCTCCCTCTCTCTCTCTGGTGTCTGTGTACCGTGTGGAAGAGAAGTCCTTATGTCTTTAGCAGAAACAGCTTGTCATTAAACCTGAGAGTGTGAGCAAAGCAAAACTCAACCTCCGCCTCGAGCCTCTGCAGTCTGCTCCTGACCACCTGTGCAGCCGCTGAAAAAAAGCCTCTATTTGCTTTGTGTGTACATTTTGGCTCATAATTAAAAGAGGATAAGGTGGAAATGTAACTTTGAGCTTCAAGTACGATGCATTTGTTTCTGTGTTTGGGCTTAAATATGATTGAGAGAGGATTTTAACTTTGGCTTTCCATGTTTTTGAATCATGGAAGGGACAAGAAACATAACAAAACTTCAGTCTAAAAGGTAGAAGTGGGAGATATGATCGAGTCAATGTATTCTTGTCGAGTCTTGCATCATAATAGCAGTCGTCTCGGAGGACTTGGCAAAAAGTTGTCAATTTTTTCAACAAGCGGAGACAGAACAGATCAGAGAATCAATCAGTTGGAGCAGAGGACATTCAAAAATAATAAACACATAGGAGCCTTTGGTTCATACATGTTTATAAATGTCCTGGATCATCGCTGTCCTTAGTAAATTAAACTTTTACCATTGTGCTTTGTCCTTTGTCCTACAGTTCCCAACCCAAGTTCCCAACACCATCTCCAATCCCTCCCCTCCTCTTCTACTGATTGATATAGATACAGGACTGATGCTGTAGATCCAGGACTGATGCTGTAGACCCAGGACTGAGGCTGTAGATCCAGGACTGAGGCTGTAGACCCAGGACTGAGGCTGTAGATCCAGGACTGGGGCTGTAGACCCAGGACTGAGGCTGTAGATCCAGGACTGATGCTGTAGACCCAGGACTGAGGCTGTAGATCCAGGACTGATGCTGTAGATCCAGGACTGAGGCTGTAGATCCAGGACTGAGGCTGTAGATCCAGGACTGAGGCTGTAGATCCAGGACTGAGACTGTAGACCCAGGACTGAGGCTGTAGATCCAGGACTGAGGCTGTAGACCCAGGACTGAGGCTGTAGACCCAGGACTGAGGCTGTAGATCCAGGACTGAGGCTGTAGATCCAGGACTGAGGCTGTAGATCCAGGACTGAGGCTGTAGATCCAGGACTAAGGCTGTAGATCCAGGACTGAGGCTGTAGATCCAGGACTAAGGCTGTAGATCCAGGACTGAGGTTGTAGATCCAGGACTGAGGCTGTAGATCCAGGACTGAGGCTGTAGATCCAGGACTGAGGCTGTAGATCCAAGACTGAGGCTGTAGATCCAGGACTAAGGCTGTAGATCCAGGACTGAGGCTGTAGATCCGGGACTAAGGCTGTAGATCCAGGACTCACTATACTTTCTTTGAACCTATTGAAAATATTTGCTTCAATATCCAGCACTCGTGGGCGACCAAGTTTAGTGTCTTGCCTCTTGACAAAGCCTCAAAACCCGCCAAGTCCTTCCAAACATGAAGTCCCTCACCATACGAAAGATTAAAAAACCCTTCCCTTCTCCCCACCAGCTCTCCTCCACCTCCGACTCTCCTGTCCTGAACTGTCCACCACAGGTCAGCGAGTGTGGAATCATCAAGGCCCCCCTCCCTGCGCTCTACGGTGTCCTCAGAGGCTCAATCTGCAGGTCTGAGGTCACTCGCTGGCCCGTGACGGAGGAGCAGAGCCAAAGTGTGTCCTCAGAAAACTCCACTCACTTCCACAGTTGCCAAGTATTAGCTGGGTATGACTTTAGCAAGGTTTTTATTTTACTTTACTTTACTTTACTTAAACCAAAAACTGTCTCTAGAACATTTTTTTGTCATTTTTTTCACCTGTAACTTGATCTTTTCCCCCTGTACAATGGATCACTATATAATATAAATAGAGCAAGCATTAATGAAGGTATAAGTTCATAGCTAATGAAATAATATATCATAAAGTTGTGACGACAGTGGCTCAGTTGGTAGAGCATTGGCTTTTGAGCCTGTAGGTCGTGGGTTCGAGCCCACCACGAGACCAACTTTACGACTCACACTAATGACTGCAGTCGTTGTGTTGTTGGGCAATACACTTAACCCCACTTTGCCTGAAGCCCCCGCTGAAAGATCTCAGCTCCTGTGGACTCACCACCTGCAGGAGGATCAGTGAGGGGCTGGTGCTCTGTGTACTGGGTGGCATCTCTGGGTAAATGTTCGGAATTTAAAGTTCAAGGGCACTTCAGGGTAATAAAAGTGAACACAGATAACAAAGTTTTTCAAGAAGTATCAGTACTCTCTCCGGTCTCACATTCTCTGGTCACTCTCTCTCTGTCTCTGGTCTGTCTCTGGTCACTCTCTTTCTGTCTGCGTACTCTCTCCGGTCTCTCTCTCTGTCTCCGGTCTCACATTCTCTGGTCACTCTCTCTCTGTCTCTGGTCTGTCTCTGGTCACTCTCTTTCTGTCTGCGTACTCTCTCCGGTCTCTCTCTCTGTCTCCGGTCTCACATTCTCTGGTCACTCTCTCTCTGTCTCTGGTCTGTCTCCGGTCTCTCTCTCCATACTCTCTCCGGTCTCTCTCTCTTTCCCTGGTCTCTCTCTCTCTGTGCTCTCTCTGGTCACTCTCTGTTTCGCTGGTCTCTCTCACTGTCTTTGTTCTCTCTCTGGTCTCATTCTCTGTCTCTGGTCTCTCTCTCTCTTCTCTCCGGTCTCTCTCTGTTTCCGTTCTCTAACTGGTCTCTCTCTGTTCTCTCTCTGGTCACTGTCTTCGGTCTCTCTCTCTCTGCCTCCGTACTCTCTCCGGGCTCTCTCTCTTTCTCTGTTCTCTAACTGGTCTCTCTCTGTCTCCGTTCTCTCTCTCTGGTCACTGTCTTCGGTCTCTCTCTCTCTCTCTGCCTCCGTACTCTCTCCGGGCTCTCTCTCTTTCTCTGTTCTCTCTCTGGTCTCTCTCTGTGGTCTCACCCATCGACAGTGTTATGCCTCATGGACCAATGGCTCTACGGGTTTTTTTCTTTTTTAACTGTTTGACTCTCTGATCTGTGTTGGCAGCTTTGTGAAGTCCTACTTTGTGATTTCTACTGTTGTGATTAAGGGCTATACCAAAATACATTTAAAAGACAACACAACAGCAGTTGAGGCCTAGACACATTCAAAGTTCACCAGAATGACAGTCAAGTGGCCAGATAAGACAGGAGCTTTACATATGTACTCTTTTACGTTTTAAACCATGAAAAACAGCTCTACCTGCGGCGGCCATCTTTGATATTTGCTCAAAGCGACTTCCTTCACTCCCTGCTGTGCGATAATATCCATCCACTACATGCACTGTGTTTTATTTGAACACATATCAAAGTGTAGAAGGTTGTGGGTGGTCGGGCAAGCATCCTTTAGGTCTAGGTTTTATTTGAAACTACTGTGACTCAGTTGAGAATCCCTAACCTTGCCTAATTGGGACTAGAGACCTCTTTACTGGTGGAAAACAAGGCAGAATGTGCACAGAACCAGTTTTCAGTAAGAGCCATTTGTCTATGATCACGTTGTTGAAACGTTGATTAGCAAGAATTATTAAGCAATATCTCTCTGGTATCTCTCCGGGTGCTCTCTCTCTGTCCCTGGTCTCTCTGTCTCTGGTCTCTCTATGGGATCTGTGGTCTCTGGTGTCTCTGGTGTCTCTCTCTCTGAGATCTCTGGTGTCACTCTCAGTCTCTGGTCCCTGGTGTGTCTCACTCTGTCTCAGGTCTCTCTCTCTGGTCTTTCTTTGGGATCTCTGGTCTCTCTCTGGTCTTTGGTGTCTATCTCTGTCTCTGGTATCTCTGGTGTCTCTCTTTGTCTCTGGTCTCTTTCTGGGATCTCTGGCCTCTTTCTCTCTATTTCCGGTCTTTCTCTGGTCTCTCTCTACCAGTAATTGAAGGTGTTATGCCACAGAATTAACATTGGCGAATTGGGTACGTCTATATGACACATGTGCATTCCTGGCAGGTGCATGGATAAATTCGTTTTCATTTTTTTGTAAAAGTCATAGAAGTAAAGTCAAAATATCCAGTTACTTGGCCCAGAGACCACGACCCTACAGAAAATTTAAGAGAAAACAACAGATTCTTGATCTGCATGTACACTATGATAAGAGTAGTTTTTATAAATGGTGTTTAGTCCTGACCCTTTGTTAGTAAGCTTTGTAAACCTACACTGCTAATGAGCTTGCTTTACATAATACTTTGTCTATACCAGACTGGTATTATTACACTGCATTTGAGCCTCTTTTCAGTGTTTCGACAATAAATGACCAAAACAGACGACTAACAATGTGACTGCTCTGTGTTTCAAAGCCATTTCATACGTTTCCAATTGTTTTCTTTGTAATATTTCCCCCTCCCGCCGCCTGCTATCTTCTCCTCTCTGAAGAAACTCCCCGCTGTGAGGCTACCGCCGTTTAGAGCACAGTGGTCAGCTGCAAAGATGAGATATAACACAGGAAAAAAATATGAATTTTACTTGTTATTTTTATTCGCTCGCCAGCTCAATACTCCTCAGCAGCTTAACAAATGCACAGACAGAACGAAGCAGAGAACGGATTTGCACTTTTTCCCAAAACAATGCGGCGAAATACCACAACACTCCACGCTCCGCTGTGCTCAGAACTCCAAACAGACTGCTCTTTTTATTGGGCTCTTGTAGCAAACATTTTAGTACAATTGGATTAAGCTAATGATCGGGGCGGCTTGGGACGGAGGACTACTTTTTGTGATGTTGTCTTATAGTGTGGCGCCGCACTTGCCCGGGTTTGAACTCAAATAATGCTACAATAAACCCAAATTAGATCCCGGTCTTTCAGGACCCGTGTATTTTCTTACGTTTTAACTTTGAAAGCAGAAGGCATTACTTTTCTGCATAGAGATTGTACTGTGTGGCCTGAAATGCCGCTCAGTTTGAGTGTGTTAGTTATCCCTATGTTAAAGCCTTGTTAATTCTTCCACTGGAAAGAATAGATTTGCTTGAATTAGGGAAATGTGTGGAATGACGGGATTATATTGTACTGGTGTGACTTTCCAATGGAGCAGACAGTGAGAGAAAGGTATTGTATTCCAAGTAAAACAAGACGTTTTTGATAGTCCCATTGGACATTCTTGAATCGTCTTTTGTACAGGTACTGGCCTCTTGCTGGGACTTTGAGGAGCACAGGGACTGGCCTCCTGCTGGGACTTTGAAGAGCACAGGGACTGGCCTCCTGCTGGGACTTTGAGGAGCACAGGGACTGGCCTCCTGCTGGGACTTTGAGGAGCACAGGGACTGGCTTCCTGGTAGTGCCCAGAGTCAGGATTATACATGGGGAGGCAGCATTTCAGATTTATATATGGCCACCATATTCAGGAGGCCTCGGATTCTATCACAAATAAAAAAGTAAGTAGAAATGTATCTTTTAAAAATCTCCATCTAAATGTATACTGTGGCGTTTGAACTCAAATATAATTAGCCCAAATTAAATTCTAGTTTAGATCTCGCATCAACATTGCATTGGGCTGCCTGGAATGTCCCAAAGTTTGGAAGAAAATGTTAAAAACTTTGCCAGTGGCCTTAACTGCTCGTCAAAGCCTGGTTCCATCAGATGACAGACGCTAAGCAGAGCAGGGCCTGGTTAGTAGTTGGATGGGAGAACACATGGAATACCAGGTGCCACAGTGGGATGTCTGAGGCTGTTAAAGCTGAGGTATCTAACTTTAAATCCACAAAAATAAAACATAATTAGTTACTCACACTCAAACTAGTTTTGTTGTATCATTAGTTTATACCTGTACTGCCTGTACTGTTTTGGCCCCTGTCTGTGAGAAAAAAACGAGTAGTGAACTCAAAAGTTTGGACACCCCTGGTCATGTGATTGTTATTGGACAGGCAGCACTGATAGAGTTGTAAGAGGGAAAAGGGGGCGGGGCAAGGGGAAGAAGAGTGGAACGAATTGTGTGTTTGGTGGAGGAGGGTTTGTGACAATGAGAACCACGAAACAAAAGTGGGATGAGTTAATCTGGGCGGACATGAAGGAGGAGAAACCCCCTCCCTATCTCTGGTCTCTTTCCGTCTCTGATCTTTCTCTTGTCACTCTCTCTGGTCTCTCTCTGGTGTCACGCTGATCTCTCTATCTGGTCTTTCTCTGGTCTGTCTCATTGGTCTTCCAGGTCTCTCTCTGGCCCCTCCTTCTGCCCCTGGTCACTCTCTGGTCTCTCTCTCTGGTCCCTCTCTCTGCCTCTGGTCACTCTCTGGTCTCTCTCTCTGGTCCCTCTCTCTGCCTCTGGTCACTCTCTGGTCCCTATCTCTGCCTCTGGTCACTCTCTGGTCTCTCTCTCTGCCTCTGGTCTCTCTCTGGTCTCTCTCTCTGGTCCCTCTCTCTGCCTCTGGTCACTCTCTGGTCCCTCTCTCTGCCTCTGGTCTCTCTCTGGTCCCTCTCTCTGCCTCTGGTCCCTCTCTGGTCTCCCTCTCTGGTCCCTCTCTGGTCTCTCTCTCTGGTCCCTCTCTCTGCCTCTGGTCACTCTCTGGTCCCTCTCTCTGCCTCTGGTCACTCTCTGGTCCTTCTCTCTGCCTCTGGTCTCTCTCTGGTCTCTCTCTCTGCCTCTGGTCCCTCTCTGGTCTCTCTCTCTGGTCCCTCTCTCTGCCTCCGTTCTCTCTCTGGTCATGCATCACGTCCCGGACTCACACACACAGTATTGTTGTTTATGGGAGTATTTTCCGTAGCATACAGTACAAAGGGCGTCACACACAGGTTAGCCTAATGCAGTGCTTTGTTGCCATCCTGTGGAGTTAAGAGGACAGAAGACGCACATCTGAGATCTGTCAGGGCACATTAGCCACGCTCCCATAGAGGGGGGACAGGGGGGACAGGGGGGGTATCAGGGGTAGGGGGGCATGTCTTTATATATGAGGAAGATGTAGGTCTCAGGCAGAACCATCGGAATCTGTTTTAAATGAGTTAAGTAAATGCATGCAGCTGTAAAGAAACATTCTACAACATTAATGGACATTTATCAACATCCATGGACATTGGTCAACTCCATATGGACCAATACCATGTGTTTTATATTTTTTGTGTCTTTTGTGTTTGATTCAGTGATATATGTTGCCGATTTCAACGGTTTAGTGAGATATCTACTGTTGTGATTTAGGGCGATACAAGAATACATTGAATTGAATTGAATAAAGAGAATAAGAAGAACGAGGGACGCATCTTTCCAGCTTTTCCAAGTCCGAGATCAATCCTGGTCTCGATATGAACTGAGGTACTTCAACAACGAAAAACATTATGACTTACTTGTTATTGTTGTTTAAAAGTACTGTGTTACACTACAATATCACTGTCTCTGAATTACAAAGCTCTACACGACTACTGTATTATTTTGAAGTTACTTTCCCCAATTATATAAATACAAACTAAATGTAGCTTATGATGCTAGCCTGAGGTTTTGGTTTTAACATGAACTTAACTGTTATGGGCCACATCTTAGTTTCTAACAAACTCTAAATAATGGAGTCTATCCAACTATAAAACGTACTATTGTCGGCTTCTGCTTCAGCCTCAGCCGTCTTCTACCAGAAAGGATCAACAGGATCTACCAGAAAGGATCAACACTTCTCGGCTACTATTTGGAGCAGATTTGTTCTCTTGCTGATCTCGCGGTGGCATAATATTAACAAAACACTATTTAACTGTGGTTTAAATGCCATTTTGTAATCTCTGTACACAGATTATTACTGACCTTTGTAGCAAAAGCATTCGTCTCAACTCTCTGCTGGCTTATTACAAATCCTGTTTTTCAAAGGAGACCAATGATAAAAAGTGACCAATTAGCGAAGTTACAACCTGAATCCGAAATCATCCACAGAAGGCTCCTGATTGTCCAGTTTTTCGGGGCTCATATCTGGATTCACAAAGACAATGTCACAGTAGAAAGAGAGAGAGCACTAAACCATGGATTCTCAAAGCCCAACAATGTGAGTGTGACAGTTACTGAGCTAGAGGAGTTCACTAGAAGAGCAAGATGGAGCAAAACTTTGTCCATGAGCCCTTTTAAATGCGCTGGAAACTGCTTAAATCCTAAGTAGCTCTGAAACAGCTGTTTTTTAGTGTTTTCCAATCGTTTGTCTTTCTTTGTGTGGGTTCTGGGAGTTTGTTTTTGACTTGGGGCCAATGTCATATGGCTGAGTAGGTTCTTTTACTAAGCTTTTTAAAAGTTGTTTTTACTAAAAGAACCACAATAGCCCTAAACATAAGAGGAGACATATCGAACTGTAGTGCTAATAAAGCATTCAGAATTTCACTCTGAACCAGAGCAGAGAAAATGGTCTGAACCAAGCAGACTCTGCAGAATTTAAATATAATTATTTGTGTGTGTGTAGGATGTGTTTCTGCTGCTGGACACCTGCATAGGGATCAATCATCTAAATGTCTTTCTCCCCTATTGGGCTGCATTGAGCTCGGGGGGTTAGCATTGTCTATCTATACACAGTCTATGGCTACACCTGGTCCTGGTGAAGAAACAAAATTGCACACAGTATTACATCGGGCGAAAAGAAATCCTCTAATTACTTCTCAGTAAATAAGCCGCCCACGTTTGAACACAACATCTCATGCTTTTAACCAGAAATGAGTAAAAAGACCAGTAATAAATCCTGTTACGATAGTCTTCCTTTCATCATACCTGCCGAGACAGTCAATAAGTGCGGGGGCTCAAAATTACACCCATTTTTTCCCATTTTTCTGCTGCTTTTAATCAAAATGAATTCGCTCACACACGCCGCTGTCAGCAGGCGCTCGGAGAACTGACGTCTCCTCTTTAATATGGCAGGACATGAATCTCATTTGGTGAATATATTTGTCTTGATGAAAGCGTTTATTATCGGACAAAGAGGTCCCACCGTCGCTTGACTTTACATTTTGACTTAATTCGAGCAGAGTCAAGGCAGAAAACGCACATATGTGAATGTATACAGTGGGAGTGGAGCCTATTTTTATTTATTTTTTCCAATGGGATGTGAGACTGAAATCATTTGGAAAATTCCAGGATTGGCAGAGCTCCACGATGGACCTCCTGCTGAGACACAAAATTACTGCTACTGCCTGTTCTTCGGAGCGATATATCAGACGGGTGTGAGTTTGATCATTATCTGGGATCATGGAGGACATATATTTGAGGTAATCTACACGTGTTCTGGAGTCCTGGATCTAGAGCCTCTTGATGAAGGCCTCTCCCAGGTCTCTCACTTCTTCCCATTGGGTTTTTTCAGTTGGTGATGCAGAAGGGGCTAAGGACATTTAACAGGCTGCACAACGAGAATGTATAACAAGAACTGCTGAGTCTGTACAAGTGTCACTGATAATAATTCACTAGTAACTTTGTCACTAGTCACACAAACACAATGACGAACACTCACTCACACACAAACTCAAACACACACACACACACATACATACACACAAACCCATACAAACACTCACACTGAGACTCTCACAAACAAAAACACCCACTCTCACTCATTCACACACACACACACACACACACTGACACACACTCATAAAAACACACACTCTCACTTACACTCTGACAGGTACACACACACACACAATGACGAACCCTCACATACACTCTCTCACACACACATACACACACTCACTCACACACATACTCAAACACAAACACACAGTGACGAACCCACTCCCACACACACACAAACACACTCACACTCACGCACACAAACTCAAACACACACAAACACAATGACAAACCCTCACACACACTCCCACACACACACAAACACACACTCACTCACACACAAACTCAAACACACACACACACACACACATACCCATACAAACACTCACACTGAGACTCTCACAAACAAAAACACCCACTCTCACTCATTCACACACACACACACACGCACACACACTGACACACACTCATAAAAACACACACTCTCACTTACACTCTGACAGGTACACACACACACACAATGACGAACCCTCACATACACTCTCTCACACACACATACACACACTCACTCACACACATACTCAAACACAAACACACAGTGACGAACCCACTCCCACACAAACACACTCACACACATACACACAAACTCAAACACACACTCACACACACTCCCACACACACACAAACTCACTCACACACAAACTCAAACACAAACACGACGTGACGAACCCACTCCCACACACACCCACTCACACTCATACAAACACACACTCTCACACTCAGACACGTACACACAAACTCAAACACACACATACACAATGACAAACCCTCACACACACTCACGCGCATACACTCATACAAACACACACACCCCAATTGTCTGTAAATCTGGGACGACATGTCACCAGTGTGTGTAGCTGCAGCTCCATCTATTCTTCTTCCATATTTAACCAGGTCAATTGAGAACACATTCTGAGTCCTGTTCAAAAACCCGAAACCAGCACCGGTGAAAAGAAGATAAAACGTTGTGCGTCGTACTGTACGTGAACCAACCTTCTGAAGAAAAATCTTTTGTAAACTTTTCGAAAGCAATTTCTCCGTTCTCGTGATCTCAAACGAACCCACACAAAACCCACAGAGTAGTAAAAAGGGGAAACGAAATGGCTTATTTTCTCAGTTTTTTGTGTGTAATATGTCAAACTGGGAGCGAGTGGGAACAGAATCCATTGCTTTGATTTCGCCAGAGATCGGAGGCCTGTGTGATACCTTATAATGGCCTCTGAACTGCTATGCTTCTTTCAAATTCTTTCGCCAAATCGCTGGGGCTGCGTTTGATCTCGTTCAAATATCTATTCCGGGGCGAAAGCTGTTTGCTAAATGGTTTTATTTCGGCTGTGCGAGGCCAGTTTTTTGATGTGAATTAATAACGCGGGTACCCTGGGATGTTGCTAGGTCCGAGGGCGCGGCTGGAGAAGACGACGGGGAAAAAAAACGGCGTGACCCTTCACTTTATCCCAAGGTAATTACAGAGACTTCCTGGAGTTGGCGAGTTGTCATAAAAAAAAATAACTTCTTGGATTTTTTGGGAGCAGAACAATAGCCGTAGCTTTAGATGTAGCTTCCCTGTCTCCTGCACGGACATCAATGCTTTTCCTGAAGACGTGCGAGAGCTTGGCCTCTGAAAAAACGAAGACAGATCCAAAAAAAAAAAGGCAGATACACAAGTGGGTTTTGATCAAGGGGGAAATTGCGAGAAAAAAAAAAAATGGTGGACCTCTCGTGCCAGTCTTGGGAGTAGCAGAAGTCCATATGGCGAGCGGGGAGGGACGGTGGCTTGTGTTTGAAACGCCACGAACGGACGGAAATGGCAGACGCCTGGAGATGGTTTTTGAAGTGGCGAGGAGAGGAGAAGCGAGCTCTTTCATGTGGGTTTAGAGCCAAGAGAGTAGGATCCAAGGCACAATGGCCACAGAGGAGCAGAGGCAGGGAACAGGGAACGCACGCCACTTTACTGGACACCGGCCAGCGCTTAAAGGAAACTTACACTTGCCGTGATACAGCGGGTCTCAAAGAAGGCTGCACTATACTTATAGATAGACTCAGATAGATAGATAGATATAGATAGATAGATAGATAGATAGATAGATAGATAGATAGATAGATAGATAGATAGATAGATAGATAGATAGATAGATAGATAGATAGATTTTGCACTAAAATTCTAAATATACACAATATAGTTGTTTAATTCTTATTGTAAAATGTGTAAGATATTTGAAAACATGTGACCTGAGATCTGTTCATGTTGACTGAAGAAAAAAACTACTGCTACTACTACTGTTACTACTACTGCTACTGCTACTACACCACAGAAAGATGGATAGATAAGTAGATTTAGCACTAAGATTCGTATACAATTTAGTTCTTTTTTTCCATATTGTAAAATGTATGTTTTGTAAAGGGGTTGATTACCGAAAAAATACACTACTACTTCTGCTGCTAATACTACTGCTACTACTACCGCTATTGCGGCTGCTACTACTACTGCTGCAACTACTAGTACCGCTACTGCTACTACTGGTACTACTACTGCTGCTTCTACTACTACTGCTACAAATACTGGTGCGTTGGAGTGTCCTGCAGCAGAAATACAAAAGAATGAATACACAATTCTAATAGTTATTAGTAACAAAATATGTTATAAAAAATGTATGCAATCAAACAATGGATCATAATATTTATATCAGAAAACAAAACAAAAATAAAAAACAGGATCGTGTTTTGAAAAAAGGTAATAGCTAGCGACTGAAAAACAGTGTATCTTTTTAGTGAGAAGTTAGAAATTTGTTTTTGATGAAGGCCTTTTGACTTAAATATTACGTCAGGGAACAGTACGAACGAGGAGCACACAGCACAAGATAAGTTAGCAATAGCTTTATAAAAAAATTTAAAAAATTAAAATCGATAGCTATAGCATAATAAAGAAGCAAGGATAAAAACTCTAAATATTCTAGTGCAAGACGTATATATGTGTATGTGTATTGTTATATGTGCATGTATATACAGGTAGTTATATAATATTCTACTTTTTCGTCCGAACCGTGTTCAAAAGTGCTGTGTTTCTTGCTAACTTCCCTTTTTGGTCTTTCCCGCTGGCTCTGGAACCTCTCCTCTCGCTCGTCTCTTCCTGTGCCACTCGGCCTTGGAGCGAGTTGCTTCCTCACATGGCAGGAAAACAAGCAGCTCGTCATTGGCAAAGCGCAGCAACATTTTTTAAATTTATTTTTATTATTATCTGAGAAAGACAAGAGTCCGCAACTTTCTCCAGTGTCTTTTCTCCGGGGCCGATACCAGTCCCTTCAGTCATTACCGACGGTGGCGATAAGAGCAAATATCGTGAGAGACAAGGATTAGTGGTGGAGTGAATAAAGAGAGACGACTGAGAAATGAAACTGTTAAATTAAAGAAAGATTCCAGATATGAGAGGTGTAATTGAGACCGGAATCGGAGGAATGTGGTCTTTGGCAGCAACCCAACACTAGTTTTGCGGTTGGAAGTTTTCCTGCTTGGTTTGTCTGGGGTTCAAACTCAATCATTTAAGTAGTTTGCAAATGTTTTTAGTTTTTTATCGAAGGGGAACAGGCCTTGCAGAATTTTCCATGTAGTTTATTGTTGGTGGATTTATTTATTACTATTTTTATACCTCTTTATTATTATTATTTTGCTCTAGATAGAGATTTTATACTTGTTCTCTGAGGTCAAGAATCAGATATTTTGTTTTATTTTAATTAGTATAGCTATTCAGTTATCTTGTGCTGCGTGCTCCTCAGTTGTACTGTTCTGTAACTTGTGATGCAACACTGAAATTTCCCCTCTGTGGGACGAATAAACGATCTCTTAATCTCTTAATCTAAAAAGTGTGGAATGACAGTGTTTAAAGCACAACAGCAAAAAGTGATCACATTTCTAATCTTGCTTTAACACAGTCAGAATGTGTTAGATTAAGACGAACCACTCTATTCAAGCAATTATTACCTCATATTTCATAACTTTTTTCAGTGGGAATGACGGTGCAGTGGTTAGCCGATGCTCTCCCCATGTCTGCTTAGGTTTCCTCTGGGTGCTCCGGTTTCCCCTACCACAAAACACATGTACAATAGTCCCTCATAACACTCTCCTCGAGCCCTCTCCTGCTGTCTGGATCCAGGACTATCATTTGTGAATCTACAGCTGGATCCCTCTCTCAATGACATTTATTTATTCATCCCGCTCTTTTTGGACCAATGGCTCTTATTATTGCATTCCCTGTGTTTGAACTTTTTGATTCTCTGACTTGCTGTTGGAGAATCGACAACTTTAAAGTCTTCCGAGACAACTGTAGCTGAGATTTAGAGCCATACAAAAACAAATTGAATTGACTATTGACTTAAACATGTTGCACATTTCTGTCTCTTTGCACAATCTGAGTGATTCTATCTGTGCCAAATGTGACATCAATAAAGTTAATCTTATCCTGGTTTTTTGCAATAAATAATTTTTTGAATAAGCTTGTCCGAGAATGAGTCGTGTAAAAGTAAAAAAACGAACAAATCAGACCAGAACAATCTTCATCTTAAAAGAAAACATGTCATTGTTTGCGGCCTTGTGAATCACTGTTTGACTCTGTAGGCTGAGAGCTGATTGGCTGAGTGAGGGTGGTATTTTTCACTGTCTGAAAAAGCTAATCTAGAATACTAAGATCACATTCTGCAGTGTGGGGATCTTCTCTTTTTCTCCCCATGAAATATACATGTTATTAGCCAGAAAAGCCAGATTTTATGACCAACTCAATCTGCAAATTATATATATTTTCCAGCCTTGTCTTTCTGCCATTTTCTCTAGAAACGAAAATATATCAAGCCATTAGCATCTGTATTCCCCAGATATAAAGCAGGTGCATTGAGGGAGTGATTGAAGGACCCTCATGCCACTTCCTTCTCATTCAGCATTTTAAAACTTTGCGATAGCTCTATATAACCAGATTTGTTATTCCAGATGTTTTTCTTTCTCGTTGACAAGAGCCTGCCTATTTCTTAATGGACTCTCCTTTTGTGAAGCAGATCTGGCCTTCGCTGCTACGCCGTACGTTCGATGGAGCCTCGAGATGAAGAGAGTGCTTCACCTTTATTAAAAACCTCAGCGAATCCCCAACATCCCGCTGCTACACTCAACCCGAAGAGGACACGAGCGCTGTGCCTGCTAGCTTCTGAAGAGCCTTTCTGCTTTCCAAAGGGAGGGGGGAATTCAAGGAGTGAGAGGGGGGAAAAAAATGTAGGTCACCATTTTTACTACGATGTCTTTTTCCCCCTTTCATCGCATTGTTGCTGAGCAGTTTTGCGCCACCTGCTGTGTTTGGGGAAAGTGCCAAAACCTTATTGGATGTTAGCTTGCGTTGACCTTGCGAGTATATGGAGTCCATGCATTGGATGTGTAGCAAAGTCGCTACGCTATTGGTGCGAAAAACCAGGAAGAGACACGGAAGAAGAAGGCGTGGTTTGCGAGATTGCCGAAACTGCGAGGCGGTTGGGTGACTACTAAGTTTGAACCGAAGCCCAAAGGGGGGGGAAAGGAGTGTGTGAAGTGTTAGCAAGAGCAAAAATAACATAACAAGATAGGAGCTGAATAGTGCTGACAGAGGGGATGTGATTGGATGGGGCGAAACGCAGAGAGGGTCCGCGATTGGCGCGAAGCGGTGTGCCAGCGGTGAGAGAGATAATCCCGTCTTTGCGATCAGCGGGTGGCGAGTTTGAGAGAATGCCGTGTGCAAAATATATCAATCCCAAAAGCGGAGCTCGATGGGGGAGAGAAAGAAAGAGGGGGAGAAAGAAAAAAAAAGACATTCGGATTTATCTAAAAACAAGTCCCCAGCGCCGGGTAGGGTTTTGTCTCTCGGAAAGCAGATCAACGGCAAGTTCAAAGACGCATAAAGCGAAAGGACGACCGCCGACTTTGGAACACTGGGAAGAATAAAATCATGAGAGATGACCAAAGACTGACATTTTGACACCGTGAGACCAGTATAAAACCATTCCACAGCCTCTTGTTGTTACAGTATAATGGAAAACATCAAATTGTGGAAGCCAAACAAAACCAACACATGGTCAATGGACTCTCCTGCTGCCGACCAATGTAAACTTCTCTTTCTAATTCATCTATATTTTAACCAATGTAGCTATAGCCTTGCTAATGTTATATCCGAACCGGAAGAAAATATAAAGCCACATGTGTATTAGGGTTATAACTTTGTGACTTTTTTTTTCAAATTTGATTTCCTGTAGTAGGAATGGATGAACTCTTGCTTATAATGGCCCAAAATGATGTTTATTCCATTGGGATATTAAAAAAGGTCACACACAAAGCACTTTCTATTATTACTGTAGTCTCTAAGCCTTTTTTTTTATTAAAAGACTGTTTTCATGTAGTGTCTATTTTGAATTTTATTCAATGTGGCTCTGTTTACTTTATTAGGAACACCAGGTAAACATTTGCTATATTACATATATTAATTGTTATCCATTTTAATACACAGTAATTTCAAAATGTTATTTTTAAATTGTATTAAATTGTTTGTTTATAATTTGTAATTGGAAATAAATACTTATCCTTTAGAAGCATTTTTGTTCAGATTGGAATCTGCTTGGAATGATGTCAACAATTTTATGAATAGTATGAATATTGAATTTTTAAAAATCAGTTTGTGGGTGAGGTTTTTTCATTAAAATAACTTAAAAATTTTATTTTATTTGTTTTTTCATAAAAGTTCATTACATAATGACACAGGGATATGAGGTTGTAAAAAAGTTATAACCCTAATGTGTATATAACCACAATTACTTTAACAATAATCACAAATGCAGTGACTGTTGCAAATAACTAGGACAAAATATAATGTTTTC